TAATTTGCCAGCATAACATTCTGAGTTACGCTTGAATGCTTGGCCATAAATGAATTGCATTATGCAAACTATATGTGGTAGACAAGATGAGTCACTGATCGATCACACCAAAATGATCGTAGCACAAGAAATAGTAATAGAACAACTGACAACATTCATCAACATTGCTATGTATTAAAATTGATTTATTCATAGCATTTTTGACTGGAAAGTTATTATTACTGTTTCGGGCACAGATTAAAACGATAACATGCAGATGTTGTTTTACGATGCCATGGTAACAGGTTTGTTTGCCCAATATAAGTTGACTATGAATGCATATCAATGTTAACAATGTTTTAGAAGCTGATAAATATCTCCATATTTGTTCCTGATGAGTCGTTACTGCAATCTATAATTAATTTGTTGGTTATATACTAGAAAATGTGCTCGTGAAACACGCCAATTACACAGTTTTGCTTTCTAAATCATTTAGCAATTTTTTTATCAAGAAGTGTTGTCATTTGTTGAGTAAACAGGCATGTCATCTTTTAAAAAATTTTATTTATGGTTACGCTTCTCATAGATAGTGACCAGAAATAGAAAAACAAGGTCAGGATAGGAAGATACTATAAATGAGAGTTACAGTTTTGGACAACTTTCAGATATAAATAGTTGCAACAGAGGAGGAGTATGCTGTTTATCAGTGTATTTGTGCACTACATTCTGTTGATTTCGGCATCAGATAGCGAGTCAAGCAATAGCAATCACGGTACGAGTCCAACAAGAGCAAGTGCCGTTCAGCTTAGCGAACTCCGAATCGGACATGATATTGATGTACATGTTCCGATGGACAAAGGAGCTAAACAGGATCAGACCAAAAAGAGTCATACCGATCCTGTGGTTGATGACGAAACAAAGCGTAACACATTAGATAGACGACTATTGAAGACAAAGAGTAGGAATAACTCCTCGTTGTTGAATGAACCCGCCAAATTGGATTCAAAAAAGGAGAAACAAAGAGATAAAGAAGGTATGTCAAGTAGTGCGTCAACATCTAGACCAAACCGAGAACCAGAGGTTCCAGGATTTTGTTTTTATGCATGGTGTTCACAAGGTGGTTGCGATGATGATCGTTATCAGTTAGTGAATCAGAAAGAAACACAAGCAACTGGTGTTTCACCTACAACAAGTATTGATACAGAGGGACAGTCAGAGCCTCCGCAGTCTATTGGTAACACAATTTGTAAACCTTCACAGCCGAACAAAGAATTACCAACAACAAGTTCATCCCGAGTGGCAGATACGCGTTTCAAGGTGGAAAGAGTTCCCGAGCAATCGACATCTGAAGAA